AATATAGAGATGGATTCAGTTATATTTAGAAAAGGTTCTAGTTTTGGTAGAGGTAACGTTGCTAAAAAGTTTATGGAAGAGATCGTTAAAAAATTGAAATTAAACGTAAACATACCACTTATAATGACCGAAGAAAATAAAATAAATCATGAAAATATCATCGCTAAAAGAACATGTCCACTATGTAAGGCAAAATGTGCACAAAGTTCAAACAATGCTGTCAAAGATTACGATAGTTTAACTGGAAAATATAGAACCGTATGTAACTGATGCAATCTAAAAATGGTAAAGCATAGATTCGTCCCAATTTTTTTTCGTAACCTGTGAGGTTGTGATTCAAATTTCATTGTAACACAGTTGGGTTTCGATACAAAGAAAATTAGAGTAATACCTAATACAGAGGAAAAATGTATCGATCATATACGATAAAAATAACGCGGCGGCGGAGGATGGACCAGCAGGACGAGCAAGACCAGCGGGACCAGCCGGAGAACAATGGATTTCCATTGTCCCAGGATCGGCAAATACGTACTACACGTAATAGAAAATATACAGATTTTTAGACCGAAAACTATTAAAATCTTAAGAATCGCATAGCTTTAAAAGCACGGTTATCGTACTTCAAAAATCACCTCATAGATATTATAATATTGATATATACTTGTATGCATACAAAAAGTTAATGATTCATCGAATTCGATCTACCGTCTCACAGAATGACCCAAATAGTAGGTATATTCCGTTTTCGGAAGGCACACATAACGCGATTGTCGGTTGATCCCCGGGCGTGGTTGCGCGGTGGACAAGTGGGCTAAAAGCCTGTCCGTCCCGGGTGGTTTGACAACAGAACAAACAAAAATACGTTTGTAATTTGAATATGTTGTAAAATATCTTTGATTTAAGATTTTAGCCTAATCAAATAAAAATAAAAGTAAAATTCTAGTTAATTAAGACATTTATTCATTCTAGATCTTGTTTTTCTTAAATATAGATTTATTTTCTTCAACTTACGATCTGTTCTAGACGAATTGATTGAACTGGGTGATAATATAAATTAAAAACTTAATTTTTTTTATTCAGTTATCTTCTTTGGGAAATCCATCAGTACTTAAAATTGATGAGGTTACAAATTCTAAAAATTTGGTTACAAATAGTTACAAATTGAGTTTTATAAATTACAATTTATTTTGGACGAATTCGTTGAATTGGGGGGGGGAGGCTGCGTGAAGTTAGCCCCTCATTGAAAAAGTACCCGTAGCTTGAAAAATATGAGGTTACATATTCTAAAAACTTGGTTACAAATAGTTACAAATTAAGAAAATAAGGTTACAATTATTTTGGAAAGTATTTTTTATAGTGGGGGGGGCTAACTTCACACACGTTTCTAATTGTAGTGGTAGAAACGTCATTCCATATATCTGAGAGCATTAAAATGACAGCTTTGCTTCAATGATAATATCGAGTTGGGTATCTATTTTTATTTATATATCTGTGGTGGGATTCGATCTGCTCATTATCAGTTAGGTACATATATTTTAAATTATAATTAGTTACGCCATCGGTGCGAACAATCAGGTGTTTTGAAGTATTTTTAAAATATATGCCCGATGGATTGCTAAGATCAAGTAATGCTTTTTTGAGGGTGAAATTCGTAACCTTTATTTAGATAAAAGGGAGATGCAATAAAAAATGAACTTGGTTAGGATCCATGCAGATGGGTTGTATGTTGCATTGGTCTTGAGATGATATTCCGATGGTACAGTCGGTGAAGTGGTAAATACCTCCTAATAAAATAGAGGCATAACAATTTGGTGTGACAAACACTTTGCTTTTTTTTGATATTGGTTTTCGGAAGCGAAGATGATGATGATTAAGATAAATTGCGTTTAGAATTATTCCAAGATATGTTTGGATTTACATTTATTTATGTTGAACAATCGCTGATAACTGTAGTTCATCATTTATTTGAAAAAATAATAATTTTTACTACCTGGTTATTTTCATCATTTTTTTTCAAATTTCTTACAATTGTTTAAATATTATAATCCATGATTGAATCAGTTGTTTCCTATTATTTTATTTATTATTCAATTTTGACTAAGAGATCCCATAATTGGTAGTAGTTCCATGGATAACCAACTTTGTGAAAGCACAAAGAATCAAATTGTTTGGGCACATGATGAAGAGTTCTGACTTAGAGTACTTTAAATCGGTGGTAGAGTAGAGTGAAATGAGTGATGAATCTTCTATCAAAAAAGCTCACAGACCACGGTGGCTAGTGGGTAGCGTTTTTGAGACCACTGGTAATAAGCGCATTACGATTTGTGTTTAATTTTCATGTCGAGATGGTACTCGAACATTTTTGGCATTGGATAGGCAGAATAATACGCGTTGGTGAATGTACGATGATGTACTATTACTGCTGTGGAACGCATTAAATAAATCCAATCAACCCATTTAATTCGAGAAGTGTTTATAAATTGTATTGTAAAAATAAAATGATTACCTATGTAGTAAAAAAAACTGCTTACTGCTACAAAATAAATTAACAATTATTAAAATAAACCCATATGATCGTTTTAAAATAGTTCAGACTAAAAGGTTGAATCCGATGTTTTCAGATTTTAACCCTGATAAAAGGTTTGTGAATCGACATTTTTTTTATATTTTATAGATGCATTAATTGTATGGTATTATACAATTATTCGGGAAGTATTTTTAGTGCACATTTTTATTAATATAATATTCCACTCGGTAGTATTATTTTAATTATTACAATTTGTATGAAATCTATTTTCTCGCGCATAACACGTGAAATGTAATGTATATGTATATAAGTACATCATATAATGCCTTATATCTTGTTCACATATATTTATGAAGTTTAATATATAGTTTATAAGGTTATTCATTAATTTATATTTGTTTAAAATAATTTCGGAATATTTTTGAAACGATTTTTGTCTCATTGTTTATATTTTGCAATAATCGTATTATGTTTAATCTTTTTATTGTTAACGTTTACTAAACGCCATTTCGGCAGATAGAAATCAATACGTTTTTGCAATAAAACGTTGTCATTTTCATACGTAAATATATAACCATATAAATATGGTGGTATATCGGTACACTGTAAAATTATTACGCCTAATGTAATGGCGTCAATGTTATTTTTTCCGTCAATATTAAACGTTTCAACATAATGTTTATGACAAAAGTACTATATGTATATTTTGTACGTACAAAATAAAATAGTACAATATATCACCAACGCGTTCTCTACTCTGTTTAATTTTATATCATGTATTGCCAATGTGTTCCTCGTGGATGTGGTCATTGTAATATCTCCAATTCCACGCGAAACTAAATGTGTTTAAATTATTAGTCTCATTGGTCTGAGTAATCGAAATTGAATTTTTTTTTAAATACCCACTTGAACATCTTAATTACCAAGTCAAAGTTATCAAAACATTTTAGTAAACTGCATGCGTCATGTAACATCTGGTATAAGGTGTTCCGGCGCATTTTAAACATATTCGTCGTGATTAAAAACTACAAAACATAGAATAAGGTTAGGTTAGCTACGGTAGAAAAACGAGGAAAATATGTCAAACAATATTTTTCAGAAATGGGATACAATTGTTGAAGCAGGTGTAACTTATTTGTTTTAAATTAGTCGTCATGTCATTATTTTTTTTATGGGGTTATTGCTCTATTTACAAAAGACATGTAAATACATTATATTAAATATTTGTCATCATTCTACAACTTTATGGTTCGGTACAGTATGTAGTTAATATGTTCATGCAATATACGAATAAATAATTGAAAATTTAATGATAAATTTAAAATCTATAAATAAACATAAAGCTCTTGTAGTGTATGTCTTGTTTTTTATGTAGGAAAAATCATCAGTTTATGTTGTAACATTAAAGTTTATGCGTTAATTTAAGAAAAATTTTTTTTTTATTTTTAATACTTTTATTGATCGTCTTATTTCCGTATAAGTATAAAAATATTTGTTAAAAAATAGTGAAAACATTTTAACTTCCCATCAGAAGGTCATAATGAAATATTGCCTGTATTAGATCTAATAATATTAATTTTACATGATCATTGTGCATATTTATAAACATAAAATATACTACAGAATAACATTTAAATTTACTTATACTGATTTTCATGAAATTTTAACTGTGAGTTTAGATACATTAGTTCAATTATTTAGTAAATATATTATTTATCATTAAAAAATGTAACATATAACGAAAATAACTGTTATTTTAAAATCTTTTTTACATTTTTGATCTATGGTTGACAGTAGTATATACAATTAGAACCGCTGAAACTTTATTAGTATATGACATTGATACATATATACAATTTGATTTCTTATTTAATATTATAGGATATTTAGACAAGACGTAGGATTCGACGTAGGTGGACGTTGTTATGTTAAGAATAACAAAAGAATATGTTTCATATGTTTCATATAAAATATATACATACATATATATGTATAAATATTATGACAAACCATAAGATAATAAACTCCCGTCGTCGAGTCATATAAAAATATTTTATTTATTATTAATATAATTATTTGCTTCTATACAAAGTGAGTAATCAGATTTAATTGTATGTACTCTGTATTAATACAGATATGCATTGAGTATAGTATTCAATTATATATACATACTATAGAAGACGATTTAAAATGTAAGTGATGGTAAATGCTGATAGAATGTTAAAATTGTTTCTAAGAACGTTCATCATTTGAAATCGCTCAAATGTTTTAAATGTTTTCAACGCATATAATTGAAAGAATTAATGAAAATATTGATGGTATCAATATAGATAGTCATATGGATAAAAAATAAAACGTAAAAAATAATTATATATGTATAGTCTGCAAGGAAAATAAAATACACAGATCACTTCGGTTACTCGGTTTCCCCTCTCTAAACGCCACACTACTATAATATCGTTTAGAAGCTGACCGGAGCTCCGCGTGAACCTTACTGAATAGTTCAATTCCAGTCAACATACGAGCAACGACGGGTTAATGTTATTCACTCATTCACAAAAAAATTATAAATAACTCAAGTTATAATAGTTTTACGTACTTATATTATTTTTCGAAAACAATAAATTCGAAAACAATTATGCCGGATACTGTCGTTACCGTACAAAATCCTGATTCCAGACCTGCAGGAAAACCTGGAGTGGAAAATGGAAACCTTAACAATTTTTTTTCCTGGGTGGAAATTAATTACAATTATTTCAAAACCATACCCGGAATATTGAAATTAGCGCAGTTGGTAAGTACTAAATTTTATAAAGATTTATACGTTTTAAACCGAATATTTCACATTCTGAAATATTTTAACGAGCCATTTTCAAATTTATAAATTTTTTTAAGAAAACCTTATATAGTGATCACATGTATTAACTATAACATTCCATTTTTTTTTTTTTTTTTTTGATTATCATCCTGAACACAAGACCTATCCCCTATTCTTTTGAAATTAAAATATGTTTATTGTTTTTGAAAGTCGTTTGAATAACAGTCGTAACTAATAAGCACTAATAACAATTCCCCTTAATTATACACACCTATACATACATTGGTCAGAATCATAATACTCCAGTCCAGAATGAATGTTAACTTGTATTACGCTCTAATGGTCAATTGGAGTGTTGGTGTAGATTGTCATCATATTCTATTTATAACTCGACATAAATTAGTGTAATATTTTTGTGAAAAAACCTGAGCAATCTAGTGAAATTATATCAAATTTAAATGATCTTAACGCTAAAATGAATGATTGAAGATCGTTTATTTCTAAGAACGTACACCAATAACTCTCACGTTTGGTAGTTATTGACTAAGAGGTATAATATAAAAATAACGAGATTTTAGATTTAAATATTCGAGTAACTTAGTAGTGACCGAGGATAAAAATTTAAATGTAAATTTATTATTAGAATAAATATTTAGTTAAATAGATTACGGTAATATGAAAAATGCTATCGTGGCTTGCATTACATTTTTGGTTTGTGAATTATAATGAGTCAATTTTACGTTATAAAAAACAAACAATAAACACGTTTTAAAATGATCAATCAGTACAATTTTCTTTTTTAATTTACAGTAGATTATTATTGAGTGTAATAATTTAACAATTCTACGTGTAGAAAATAACCACTGTAACTAAATGCATCAAACATTTCATATACTTCACTATAAACGTTACTAAATTCTTACTTTTCATTTTAGAAAAATTTGTTTAAGTGCGCGTATACATTTTAAAAAAAACACCCATTAGCCAAGCCCCACGCCACTACCATGGCATAATCTCATCAAAATATGTTTTAGCGTTCTTGGCGCACCTTATTTCTACAAGGTCACTATAATAACGTTTATTTTGTCACGTAAAAGGCAACGCTCAATTTTATTATTATGCTATATCGAACAAAATAACAATACACAAAAACGAAATTAATTGCTTACTTTTCCAAATAATAACGTGAATCACGTGTCCTGTCCCTTCGGCCAATCCTCGGTAATCAAGGAGAACATTGAAGACTGATAAACACACGTTAGACGCGTATTAATTGTTTAAAATCTTTAGACAGAGTTTTAAATATATATCATCTCGTTCTTGTCCGTTATAAAAAAAAAATAAAAACTGAAGTCACTGCGGCGTATCCACAGTTATACCGTTGTACGTCTTAAAATATACGACCTAGTTATAAATTTAGTTATTTACTCACATATAGAACTATTGATTGCACTAATTTAATACAGTTAATTATTACATCATTAGCATTAATTCAAAAACTTATCAGATTTAATTAATTTAGTCTGGAATTTAAACTGTTATTATTTATGACACTGCCACCAGTAGGCCTATAATGAAATAAAATGAATTAACTATGAGTGCGACTGAAAGAAACTCCATCAATCGGTTTACGTATATTATTTATACGGTTTACGTATAATCTCTGATATACGTGTTTTATTTTTAGACATACTCGTAAGTTTGTTTCCGAAAAAAATAATAATATTATATTGTCGTTAAAAATCTGCTAATAATTATAATTAGCCTCGCCACGCTCGAAGCATATAATTGTGTTTAAAAACTACACATAAGTTACATTAAGAAACTATCGAATACGATAGTCTAAGCTATTTTTTACTATGGCAGATAGTTATTTATTTATGATATTTTGATTCCTGTGTCAAATGACGTCAAAGATTTAATATTCAATGTTCATGCACATGCAAATTTCGATGGCCTACAGCGAACGACTTACTTCACGAAACAATTATAACAATAAAGCTTTGGGCCATCAAAAACCTGCTCGGTTCAGGAATGGAAGTTATATTATTTAAACGGAGTGCGGTAAAAAAAAAAAAAACTGTGGGTTAGATGTCGGGGTTCGGGGAAAACATTTATATATTATAAACATAAATAGATTATTGTGACACACTGGTGGTAACCCACGTGAAGAAAGAAAAAAGTTCACCCATATAATACACTATATTATAACTTGTAAATATGGAATATATACGTATGTGTACGCGATCGTTTTAACATTGTTACTCTATACTATTACTATCACATAAATGTAAAAGACTAAAAACGTTATTTCCTCCGCGTAATCTCATATATACAGTTAAAGAACTGTACATTTTTTTTTTACGTAATTGCTTATTCGAAGCTTTATTTAAACATCATTATTATATTTTTTATTTACATATTACATATTTACATATATGAAAAGGATACTTTATCTTAATATGCATAACTATATAACGTAACGCTATAATAATATTTTTTAAGTCTAAGAATGCTATTCATTATTATAAACACTTTGTCACGATTTGACATTATTTTGAATAAAAAATAAAAATTCATGAACTACAAAAAAAAAAAAAACCATGGTAAAATGAAAATAAACAGAAGACTTTCTTTCCCCAATTTCGTGTAATATATTTTCACGGCATTTTACATTTTAAATCTTGCACTTGCACGACGCACTCATCGAGTCATGCACAGATGCAGACACGTAAATAGATGCTTTTAATTTTCGGGGGGGGGGGGGGGGGTAAGTAATTAACCTAGTTCAATATTATTAGGACTTAGATGATATGCAATAAAGTGGTATATACCGTAAATCGTTACTACAATACATTTGGGGTTAAGATGGTTCACCCCTAATTACGTACAAGCAGTGAAGTATATGTATACTGTGCATGTTGCACAAATATAATATCTTTATGAAAACAATATTAATAATAATTTCATAATATTATACTGCAGAAGAACGAAACACGGACCAGTAAAACAATATTGGGCTACAAACAGCTGTACTCATATGTTTACCTTATGGTTTAGAAATCACGCGTAATCGGCTAATCCAGTATTTCCCCAATAAATGCACGTGCATGTATGCGCGTGCGTGGTATATTATGATACTTATAATGCGGTACGCATAAAGTAGGACGAATGACGACTACGATGGAACTCGCAACGGTGCTTTTGCGACTCCTACGCGCGCGCGTTGTTTTTCATTAATAAATACAAACCGTCGTCGCGTATTATGTACATTTTTTCCGCTTCCTGTTGAACGCAAACAGTCGTCTTGTCCTTCCGCCGACACACTCTGCGTTCGGCCGACCGGTGCACGTCGTACGATTGGACCTTAAACATCTTAATTGAACGATAATTAAACCAATTCTCGCTGGTTAATAAGCAATTTTAATAATGAGCCCCGGTGAATAATATACGATACACGCGGCGGATCACTTTGGGTCTCTTTTGTTTTTGACAAGTTTATTATTGTTATTATTATTTCAACGTGTCAAAATGAACTATATCGAAGTTCTAATAAGGCAGTTATGTCTATTAACGTATATTATTATACGTCTATTATTTTTTCCAACCGTAAAAACTCGTGAATTCATCGAAGTCGCTTCGGTGTAATTGTTTTTGTTGGTTTTTTTTGCTTTTTATTTGAAAACTTTCAACATAAACTTATACGCTTGTAGCTGAGGATTTTAAGTTTACATATTATATTGTACTCGTTTGCCTCCATGTGCCTCCATGCGGGCTAACATGTCATTTAATATTCTCCGAGAATATATTCGGTATAGGGGTCGTAAATTGATATGAATTTTGTAAAAAGAACAATGGAATTAATTTACAAGGTTAATAAAATTACATGTAATCGTTTACGTGTTTTATACGTTACAACTAATTGTTTTTCAAGTTTACTAGACCATATGAGGATTTCAATAATTAGCTGTTTTATAATCAACATTTTTTGAAATTATATTAGTTTTAATATCGATGTATTTAACAGGCTTTTTTCAACTATAACCTAACTAAATGTCAGAATATGAAGTTTAATGATTAAAAAATGTATAAGGTTTTGAAAAATAAACTAGGTTCTAGTGTGCAGTTATATATACCTACCTACCTACTGTTATATTAATGTTATTTTTAAACGATATTTTATTGATCGACGGTGACAATTGAGGCGGACAACGCTACAATGCTCCATCGTTTAATCGATGCAATTAAATTATTAAAATTTACTACGAGCACATGGCTGAATATAATATAAAAATTATATATATATATGGACGAGAAAAAATCTTTATAGGAAACAACTCAACAAATTGTGTGCCGTGTGCGAATGTATAATATGATATAGGTACACGTAGTATTTTGAAGGGAAGTAACATTGTTAACACAATAGCTCCTCAGTTCACGGTTTAAACATCGAAAAAGAAAAGTGTGTGTAACAGCTATCCATAGCTATTACACACGTATTTGTAATATTACACGTAGATTGCAATAAAAGTGGTTTTAGAAGAATACCAGGATAACGTCGGTGGAAAGTCGTCGCAGACTCGTAACTCGTCATACTAGAAAAAAATCTCCAATTAACCATTCTCTCATTTATATATACGTGTATAGATTTACCTTAGTACCTTGTACGTTGTAACGGCATTTTATTTACTGGTCCGTGACGGACCGTTGTGCACCGTGATTTTCCCGAACGTCTATATCTTACAAAATCACCATCTTAGTCGCAATGATATAGTGTTGATGTGCATAAGAAATGTGGTGGCAAAAGTCACATTAAACCAATTTGAAGTACGGCAAGTTCTTATAGGAGTCTGAGAGTAACGAAACGATATTTTTCAACCGTTTGTTTCGGGATGACTACATTTTTATATAATATTACGCAGGACTTGTAGCCGTATAGCTGCAGTGATATTTAATTAAACATCCTTTCCCCGACT